GAGAAACTAAACAGACAAGCAAAATGTGATTTTTTTACGCACGTCATGACGAGTGTGAGAATAGCATGCGCTATAGTCATAACTTTCCTTTTATTACCTACAAACTCTAATCACAAACATCCATACACCTTTGAACTGACTGAAAAAGAATGCGGATCCTTGCTCAAAAAGTACTAATTCTCCTCATTTGTACTCAATAGCTACAAACTTTATGTATGAACGGATACAGTAATTGGCTTTAGATGTAAATACACAAACAAAGACACTATTTCCGCAAACATTTTCTTCTTCTTCTTGAGTTTAATGGCGGTTGGCAAACAAACAATATGCACGATTGCCGCCACCTACTGGGCTGGAGTGTGGACCATTGATTTAATAGGAAGAACAAAATAATTTAAAAAAAAATTCTAAATTTTTAAGTATGTCATTAAAGCATTATATATTTTATAATGATTCAAACTATTTTTCAACAGAGTTTTAAGCGTAATATTTTCTATCCCTATTTCTTCAATTCTTCGGTTGCCATCCATCTTATTAAGTTTTCCCTTTCCTGTTCCCAACTCCTACCTTACTTACTTTAATACTCTTTTCAATTTGAAATAGATGTCTCCCTTTTCCCTCTTTATCCCTCAACTCTTGCCACATTTGGTTTATTGTTTCCCCAGATTATGCTTCTCACTTCTGCTTTACTGATTCTTATTTTCATTTCTACGTTTTCCTTCTTCAACGCCTGATCTACTTTTTCATTCCCCTTCACTCCTACATGCGCTGGAACCCATAACAATTGAATTTGGCCTCCCTGATTTTTGTTCGTCGTGCTGCGTACAAAGACATAACATAAATATGAACACATAGATTCTTATTACTGGACTACAAAACTCAGAATATATTACCATTTGATGCTTGTATTTTGTTATCTTTCACAGTTAAGCTCATTTTATTCATTTTTGTTCTTAACTTTGCAATTCAGTTCCAGAACATGAACCGCCGTTCATCAGAAAAACAGTGAACAACTAAGATTATAAATATTCCAAATCAGAAATAGAAATGTCACAGCAATCTTAAATCACATAAAAAACAACAATTGAAAACCAGGACATCTGTGCAACCATCCATACAAAACAAATTATGGAGTAAGAAAGTAACACACACTCATCACTCAACTTACTCTTACTCGGTCACTACTAAGATAGCAGAGGCAGTTGTGGCCACCATTAGTGCATTCATGGGAATCGAAAGCATCTGACATAGTATAATTCTACTGCAAGTACAGCTGATGCATTGTGCTTATGGATACTGTAGTCATGCTAACATTCTAGGTGAAGATAATGAAGAAAATATGTTGTCTTTCATTGCTCCCTTCAGTGCAAGAGCCCCGCTCCCTCCAAAGTCCCCATTTCAAGGGCTCTGCTCTAGCACATCGGGATGCTCACTTCCAATCAGAGAGCCCTAATAAACATGCAGTGCAGGGGAGTAAAGTGCATTCTTCTTTAAGCTTTGATTCTATTAACTGAAGCAATTATATGAATCATTCCTTGCATGTTAAATCAAAATTGAATGACTAATCTTTATATCTTATGTAATAGCTGTTTCCCTCAACAGCTGAACAGTTTCCCTAACAGCTATACAGTGAGAATACTAGATGAGGTAACCAAGTAGTGAGCATCAGTGTCACAGCAATAAATATCAGTTCTATCGGGCTCATGGTCACTTGGATCTTTTTTCAGTGTGCTACAAATTGTGACAGGACCAATCCAAGGAGACACAACATCAGAGTAGACAGGTTTCCAAAATGACCGAAGGCTGGGGAAAAAAACAAAACAGTTTTCACAATGTGTATGAACATATAAGAATATAAACAAAGCAGTGAATATAAATGTTTATTTACCACTGTCTGGATATTCCTCATCACTCCTTGATGAACCTGATGACCCTGAATACAATACAAATAAAAACAGAATGTGTATACATTCATATAAATACATATCGACAGTTCACACGGTTTAGTCATTCGTCCTCCCTTAAGAGCGGATGAGCGTGAGAGAGCAATAATTCTTAACACAAGAGAGAGTGTTTATGGTTTTTGTTGTTTATTAATCTTAATTGATCAAAATGGTCATTTTGTACTTTTGCATTTTACATTTAAAGATAAACATGTACTGCTTTTATATCAACAAGCTTGAAAAAATTCATTCTCCTTTTGTGTCCCAAGACTAAGGGTGTGAAAATGACTTCTAATGTAGGTTGTTTTGCACTATTTTCATTTTGTATCGTTTTATTTGTGCATCATGCAAAGATGCAAATTCATCAATAGCAGTTCACTTCCATGATTTAAGATGGATCAAGTTCGTATAAGAATAGCATAGAATAGCATTTGGTTCAGTATAAACCATCTCTTCAAGCAGCATGGTTAGCTAGTGCAGGGGAGTCCTGGAAGACCACTGTCCTGCAGAGTTTAGCTCCAACACTTATTAAGCAAACCTGAACCAGCTAATCAAGGACTTCTGGATTACTAGAAACCTCCATGCAGATGTTGGAGCAAGCTGGAGCAAAACTCTGCCAGACAATGCAGGAACGGACACTAAAGCACTAATGCATGTCTTGAGTTTTGAAGAATGATTTGACACCAACCAAACAACTTGAACTCTAAGGGCAAACAGACTCAGGTCCACATTATTAGTGTGAAAGCATCCTAATGCTAACATTGAAGGCTCTCTCTAGGCTAGGAGCCCTGTAGGCCTATTTGAAAACTTTCACTACTAACCTCTCGGATGAACAGTGAAAAGCGTCTCCATGCCCGCATGGATGTGATCGGTCACATGGCAGTGAAGCAGCCACTGTCCAGGACTTCCTACAGTCATCTCTATGGTCTGAAATGTTCCTGGGAACAGGTCATATACATCAGCACGATGAGGATGATCCGTCTGAGGGAGAGAAAATTAGTGTTTGAGAGACGTTTTGACACTTAAACTGTATTTATGCATTAGTGTGTTTTCAGGAGTGGATCTACTGGGGTGGCATGGGGGGTGCAATCGAGTAATGATATTACAATATATAAAATGTAAATGTAAGCAGTGTTTCGTAGCTTCAATGTGATGAGATAAAAAGACAATGTACTGCAAAAAAATGGTAATAAATGTACTTCTATGACTTTGTATTATTCATAAAGAAAGAATCTTATGAACCAGTCCTTATAGAAAATCAAAATCACACAGTGCAACCAGTGTAGCCCAACTAACGAAAAATGCTTCTTTTAATGAAAAATGCAAAAGACTTGCAAACACTAAGTCTGAATTCTCAGACTGCCCTCTCTGCTTTTATTATTCATATACGTTTTTTTTGCCATCTAAGAAAAAAAGAGAATAAATACATGCATACATACTGCCATACTAAATAAATATATTTATTATTATTAAAAATAAATTGATCTGAGGTTCCTCTGTGGAAATGCAACTGATTCACATATTAATGGACATGAATGTGCATTGACGCTTGCATTGGTGTCAACACCCCCCCATTGTCCTCATGACACCATATTTGTGTCCCTGCAGCACAAAAGCAGTGTTAAGTCGCTGGG